GTCGAACCAGTCTTTGCTGGCCTTAAATTCGCTAACAGCAGCACTCATTCCCAGCATTTTCTTTACGAGATCCGCATGCAGCTGCCTGGCCTTCTCGCAGATTATCTCCTCCGAAACACTATCTCCCACTAATTGTTTTTGGTTGATCCACACCAACAACAACTTCTCCACATCCTCGATTGTTTGAGACCTCTGTTTGTTAGCATATTTACACCTTTTGCAACATCAGCTTCCTTGATTTCTGCTTTCTTCAACAGGATGGAACTAATTGTTGATGTAGATTTCCCATATGTCCTGGCCAGCTCCGTCACATGTACACCACTTTCATATTTTGCGATAACTTCTTTCTTGAATTCTATCATGTTTTTCACCTTCTTTGCCAAAGGGCTGGCACTCTGAACTTTCTTTGGCCCCATGGTGGCTTATTTCACAGTTGCAATCGATAAACAAGCACCAAAAACAATAGATGAATGCACGGAGTATTCCTAACCCAACGAGAGAGACACGCAGACTGAGTCTGACACGCTTGAGGAAGTGCATTGCCAGCGGGTGGATGCGTCTCATACCAACGATTTCTGAGTGGATGGCCGATATCCAGGGGAATTTCACCGAAAAAAGTGCTTGATTTCTGAATTGGCCGATTTTCGCACCGGCCAATGTCCGGGGTCCACTGTATAAGATTTTTGTCGAAGTGAAGGCATATGCAGATACAGTATCATAATCAACAGATCAGTACTGTATTCACAACTGAACCTAAGGACAATATCAACAAAAGTGTGGAATATGTAGAAAAAAGGTATATTCTATAATGTACGTATATAGGGAAACAAAATAATTAGAATTTTTGTTTTCCTTAACATTTGATGGTTCTGAATCAAAGCATTGCCCAAATAAAATGGTTTCCTTTATGCCTGTTTCGCAGTGGCATACATAAAAATGGGGTGCCAGCCAGCCTCTTATTTACAGCCTCTAGTTGCTTTTACAACTTGCTTACAGGGAAGAATTCTAGCCCATTTCCCATGTGTAGAACAAAAAGTATTTTAGAACAGGCAAAGAAAGCAGTATCATGGGACAATGTAGGACCATAATAGAAATTTTGAGAATCTCAATTTTATATTTAAATCTGATTGTGATTATGTATGAGCGAGGTGAAAGTGTTGAAAGATGAAAGTATTTTCATTTTGGGGATTTTCTTTCTTTTTGGGTCACCCTGCCTAGGTGGGAGACGGCCGACTTGTTGAAAGAAAAAAAAATTGTGTAAAGAATTATATTATTGAATCAAACCTTATTACATCAGTTCCAGACTTCAGTTTGTTTGTAAGTCATTTTTAACTTGAAGACAGTTGTGTTCACCCAAATCTGGGGTAATCTCGACAAAAGACCTGGAAATCTAGTCACTTTTGGTAATCTATTACTTGGTGACCTGGCTTGTCTATGTTCATTCCAGTTGAAAGTCAGTGTGATATCTATCAAGAACACCAAATAAGAATTTGATGTAGTGCATCTTTAGTTTTGATAATGTTACTTTAGGATCAATAGGCTCACTTTGGTCAATGTCTCAGTTGTAAATGTAAGTAGCAACAAAGTTCATTATGTCTTGTTACTATACAGTATAATTTATACACTGTATCGAATGCAGCAATAAAAAATCTTGGCGACTAATATAGTACAATATATTCTGAGTCAGGGATGTGTATATTTACCGAGGCAGAATAGAACTTCATACTATTAACGTGTTCCTTTTTCACCGGCATAGCTTGGCACAAGGTCAGTTAGTCTCCAAATTAAATATTTATGAATTATGATTATTACTGCATTAGTATTATTGATATATACAGTAGTGCATTTATAATAAAGTATATATGATAAATTTAAGTTTTGAAGAGGTGTGTGTATCCTTTACTAATTTTACAAAGTGAAGTGACCAGATATGAAAATTATTAACAAGCAATAAGTCTTAGGCTTTACTGATTTGTTGTATATTCAGTTCTTGACATAACCTGAAATTAATTTAAGTGAGAACTGCACTTTTCCTTGTTATTGTGGCTTCATGTGCATTTCTTCTGCACTTCATATTTCTGATGTATAGTTTTTAGACCTGTCTAAACTATTTAGTTTAGTTGTTAATCTCACTTGTTGCTTTTATTTTACATGCATGTACTACTAGTGGTGTTATAAAGTGTGACCTGCCTAACATTTGTAGTATTCAGTCCAGAAGTTCCTAGTAAGATTACTTCTGCATGATCATCCCTCTGTCTACCTGGGGGAGCGGGAGTTTGTCTGACTGATGTGTTTTATGACATTAAAAAATATATATAGTACTGCATATGAGGGGAAATATTTTTTAGATTGAGATATAGCAAGTATAGCTAGGGAAAGGATTGGGTTAGAATAGACCACTGAAATACTTTGAGTAGGCAAGAAGAAAAACATCTTAAGGTTAAATAGCCTGACCTTAGAGTAGGTTTTAAGTGTTTTTTGGGACTTAACGCAGTAGTCCCATATACATTACTATTAAAATACTGAGCCAGTATTTTTCATATTTATTGAACACAGCCAATATGGCCACAGAAAACAGGACTAGGGTAAAGTCATGTGGAACCCAGCATACTCACCTGCTTGTGTTAATGGGGCTTGGAGTGATACTTTCATACTCCTTGGGCTTTGCCATAATTGCATTTTGAACTTCTGTATGAGTTACAGTGGTATCTCGGTATACGTCCTTAATTCGTTCCAGGACCTTGGACTTATACCAAACAAGACAATACCAAATGAATTTTCCCATAAGAATTATAGGTAAAACGATTAATCCATTCCTATGAAAAAAAATCCTATTGTTATTGGCATGTTATACTTTGATGGGGTTGTATAAAATAATTTAAACACTGCTTAATACTAAAATACATACATAAATACAAAAGAATTAGATGAAATAAATGCAGATTTAACCTCACTTTACTTTGCTGAAAAGTCAGGTGCCTATTAGAATAGTGCTGAGAAGGGAGGAGGAAGAAATGTTATTGTTTGGAAGGAGAGTCCCCTTCTCTTCTGTTTTTTTCCCTATTTGGACCTGCTGAAGCTCACCAGGTTTGACTTGTACTAGAAATCTGTCCAAAGAACTTACTTTGCTTCTACTTTCTCTTCAGGATGTTTCGGAAATGTGACATTGTCTGGTCATTCCAGATAATGCTATTACGGCTTGTTTGGGCTTTGTTGGGGTGGTACTTCTCTGCAGAATTTTTGATGTCCATCCATTTGGCAAAGATTTCCTTGATTAATGAAGTAGGGGCTTCCTCTATCTCCTCTTCTGAGCCTATAGAGAGTGCATCCATCTTAGTTTTGTGCTCCTCCTCCTCAAGTTCCTGCAGCTCCTCAGTGGTTAGCTCTTCCCTGTGCCCCTCCACTAACTCCTCCACATCACCATCACTCATGTCCAGACCCATGGACCTGCCCAGAGAGACACTATCCTCCACTATAGACACAGCCTCAAAGCCCCTTTCAGCCACTGCTTCTGCCCACAAATTCCTCCAAGCAGAGTAGGCAGTCGTGACTTTGTCTCGAGAGAAGGTTAAACAAGGGTAGCACGCGGTGTCATGACTCATTTTGACCTATACAAGTTCTAGCACACAAGTCATATTCCAAACAAAGGTCGTATACCAAGCAAAAATTTTCACGTCCAAACAGGATGTATACCAAGTTGGACTTATTCCAAAGCGGACGTGTATTGAAGTACCACTGTACTTTTCACTACATCCTGTTGCCATTTACTATATCAGACTAATGTTTCCTGGAACCATTATCCTCCTGACCAGATCTCAGACTAGGCTTCTTAAATTATAAAGGAATTTTTGTAGGAATGAGAATTGCAGTATAAGTTACTGTACTCTAAATGTAAGTAGGAATTTTTAAGATTTACTAGTCATCTTTCTGACGTATTCATGACACAGGAAGAATTTACCAGCAACACTGCAAACATTGAACAGGCTGACATTTTACACTCATGACAAAGACTGTAGTTCCTCCCTGGATAATTGCTGTCTATCACTCTTCTGTGGATCTCTGGGTTGGAAGTATGAGGTAGGTTGCAGGATTTTGCAACCATGATCTGTATTTTTCACATGACCTTTACATTCTACTTAACATCACCATGTAATAATTTTATTTCCTGGGCACATTGTTCACATGTCTCTGAAACACCATGGGACTGAGACCTGAACTTGAAGCAACTTTAATTTTTAAATTCTTTTTATTGATGAAACGTACATAAAGCTAACAAATTGAGAACCAGTGCTTCCTCATATTCTGACATCAATCACAATATAATGGTCAATGTTTTAATGGTGTAGCTATGTAATTAGAGTACTGCACTGAATTGCCTCTTAGGAAGTTTACCAGGTGAACTTGGTTAATGGGGCACAGTGTTATTACTGTTGATATTGGTGCTTTCATGTTTGTAGTGCTGCTCATTAAGCTAAGAATATAATTTTCATAAAGAGCATTAAAATACTTCACAGGTAAGTTAGGATTTTATACAACCCTGTACTCTGCTTTTAGGGCTGTTAGTTTTGTATGTACATTCACTTCCCTTGTACGTAAGCTGTTTGATAGGCAGTTTTAAATTTTAGATTGCTTGAATTTAGAAATTAGTTCAATAACAGCACAGTATCATACAAGCACTTAAGTGCATGTCTGTTTTCTGCAAGTTCATGTATGTATTGTGACACACTTTTCCCCAAAATATTTCATTCTTTAAGCAATTGTTCAGTCCTTTCCTTTTTCATTTTTATATTTTTAACTCTTATCCTCTATCTCTTCTTATTGGTATTAGTTATTGTTAAGTACCATTTTCTTCAGTAGTGCTGAAATATTTCTCTCTGCATTTCTGTAGTTTGTTGTATGTCTCACATTTTTTTTATCCACATTTCATCACTCCTCTATACCATTCTTTTACCTGCTTTTCTATTTTAGACTTGAATTTAGACTATTGACTGTATTTTCAGATCACCTTTACGAGGCACCAGTGGGAGTTATGGAGACTATGACCGGTACTCTACTGCCCAACGCTCTCCTGAGCGTCAGTATTTAGACAGGTTAGTTACCTTCCCCCTTTTTTCTCTTTTGCCACTAAACTACTCTCCCCACTTTCTACTACCACTGTTTCTTCTACTACTTCCACTACTTACCTACCACTACTTCCTCTTCTCTTGTTCCCGTCCCTTTTCCAGCTTGCCTATACAGTGGACCCCCGGTTAATGATATTTTTTCACTCCAGAAGTATGTTCAGGTGCCAGTACTGACTGAATTTGTTCCCATAAGAAATATCGTGAAGTAGATTAGTCCATTTCAGACCCCCAAACATACACGTACAAACGCACTTACATAAATACACTTACATAATTGGTCGCATTCGGAGGTAATCGTTATGCGGGGGTCCACTGTATAAACTGGCTTCCTCACTCTTCTGTTAGTGTGACTTTGTGAGCGGTTCAAGTTGGACCAAAACATCTTCGTAAGCTGCTGCTGCTCTCCTCGTGTGGGTTATTTGTGTATTGTTCCAGTCACAGCTCAAATGGTCAATAGCTAAATAGTACTGTGATTCACACAATCTACATGAGCCACATGGAACCTTTGTCATTCTTTGCCTGCAGTATATGGTCATGTTTCTTAACTTGCACTTAAGGATTTTCATTCAGGCTGTGCCTCAGTTGGCTTGTCCCATACAGGCCATCTAGATGTCTTCAGTTTGAGGGAAGCCTTGCTGTCATTCATATTTCTCTATTAATTTCCCAGTTTTCTCCAGGATGCATTTTTCTTCGAGAACCTAAGCTACATAACAATTGGTCTTCCAATATCTGGTTGTGTACTTTTATATTCATCAGACCTCCATCCTGGTGAATCCTACAATGAAAGCATATTTCTTGTTAGTAAAGACGTCCAACGTTCACGGATTTTTTATTTTTTTTTTTATTATCACACTGGCCAATTCCCACCAAGGCAGGGTGGCCCGAAAAAGAAAAACTTTCACCATCATTCGCTCCATCACTGTCTTGACAGAAGGGTGCTTTACACTACAGTTTTTAAACTGCAACATTAACACCCCTCCTTCAGAGTGCAGGCACTGTACTTCCCACCTCCAGGACTCAAGTCCGGCCTGCCGGTTTCCCTGAATTCCTTCATAAATGTTACTTTGCTCACACTCCAACAGCACGTCAAGTATTAAAAACCATTTGTCTCCATTCACTCCTATCAAACACGCTCACGCATGCCCGCTGGAAGTCCAAGCCCCTCGCACACAAAACCTCCTTTACCCCCTCCCTCCAACCTTTCCTAGACCGACCCCTACCCTGCCTTCCTTCCACTACAGACTGATACACTCTTGAAGTCATTCTGTTTTGCTCCATTCTCTCTACATGTCCGAACCACCTCAACAACCCTTCCTCAGCCCTCTGGACAACAGTTTTGGCAATCCCGCACCTCCTCTCCTACTTCCAAACTACGAATTCTCTGCATTATATTCACACCACACATTGCTCTCAGACATGACATCTGCACTGCCTCCAGCCTTCTCCTCGCTGCAACATTCACCACCCATGCTTCACACCCATATAAGAGCGTTGGTAAAACGGATTTTTTATTTTCACTATATTGGAGCAGATGTCGTATTTGGAAGATGGTACAGATCATCTTCTTGCACCCTTGTCTGTAGCTGTTCTACACGCTTTACTTTCAGCATTATTTAAGTCACTCATACTAGGTCATTTTAATTCCTTGCACTGCGTGAGGAAGTGGAAAAGGAATCCTTACGTAAGCCATGCATGTCATAAAAGGCGACTAAAATGCTGGGAGCAAGAGGCTAGTAACCCCATCTTCTGTTGACATTACTAAATGTAAAATGAAGAAAAACTTTGTTTCTTCTTTTTTTGGGCCACCCTGCCTCGGTGGGAGACAGCCATTGTGTTAAAAGAAAAAAAAAATCTTATAAGCAAGAAAATTGTGTAGTGAAATGCTTGAGTGGCATCAGCTAATAAAACAGACAATCCACAGTTGTCTGCTACTCATTTGGGCTACATAACCATTTCCAAACACTTCTACATCAACAAACAAGAGAAATAAAGATTTAAGATTAGGTAAAATTTCATAGTGTTATTTTTCTTGTTTATCTCTTTCATACTGATAAGATTGAGTATTAAATTTATAAGCCACTGGGAGTGTATCAGTCTTCTCTGTTTTCTTTGTAACATCATGTTCATTTTCTCTGGAGGGAATTGACAGTATTGCATCAAACAGCAGTTGTCTGTAAGCCTTAAGCAGATTTATTGAACCCTTTGAGGGTTTCGGCCATACTAGTATGGCTTACGACCCAGGGTTTTTGACGTACGCCTAAATTCTAACGCCCTCAAATCTAGTGGGAGAAAGCTGGTAGGCATACATATGAAAGAATGGGTCTCTGTGGTCAGTGTGTGCAGTATAAAAAATATCCTGCAGCACACAGTGCATAATGAGAAAAAATAAACTTTGACCGTGTTTTTGGAATAAAACAGCGACTTTGCACTGTATTTTCGTATGGTATTTTTTGTTGTATTCTAGTTTTCTTGGCCTTATTTTATAGAATGGAAGACATATTACAGAAATTGAGATGATTTTGACTGGTTTTACAATGAAAAGTACCTTGAAATTGAGCTCAAAGTAGCAGAAATGTTCGATTTTTACCAAAGTTCAAAAGTAAACAAATCATGCCAAGCGTCCAATACACATCAACTGGTGAGTCTAATATTCTTTCACAAGTGCGCTGATATTATTTATACCACTTCTACACTAATGCAGTCTGCGTAACAGTAAATCTTCTATTTTTTGTAAGAATAAAAATTGAAAGTGGAAAGCCAAAGAAATATAAGAGTGACCTGGGGATGTGACTAACGAATAGAGGAAATGTTATTTTAGTGCCAGAAATGTCTTTCTTGTTTATTCTGGACCCTATTTGGAAATTGGCAACTTTTGAAATTTGTGTGAAATTGGCAAAATTGCTAAATTCTGACCACTGTATTGGATAGTTGAAATCAGTAAATGGGTGGTTTCTTGTACTCATTCAATAGAAAAAAATGGAGTTCTAGAGAAATAGTTATGATTTTTGTTGACTAGTACACTGGAATTGGCCGAAAATAGGGCTCAAAGTGGGCAAAATCGCTGATGCATAAACATCGTCTAGACTGCTAACTTCGCGAGAGAATAATTCCGTAAGTTTTCCATCAAATTTCATACTTTTGGTGTCATTATGATCGGGAAAACATTCTCTATCTTTTCATAAGAAAAAATAATTTTTTTTTTTTATATAAATTTGGCCGACCCTGAGAACAAGTCTCGGAGAGGGCCTGTCGACCCTCAAAGGGTTGATACAGGTCGACCATCACTAATCCAGCATCATCAAGACCTGTAGGCTGCTGAATTAATTATTTTGCTTAATCAGAGTGGTTAGGTTAGAATACGCTTAACCCAACAGCTAGTTCATAGAGAAAAATTTTGGCTTGTTCATTCACCAGATCTCCAAATTTGGATTAGTGAATGCCAGATCAGTGATGGCTAGCCAAGTTTTTAGTTAGAAGTTGAGTATATAACACAAATTTCTAGATTAATGAGCATTTATGTCTACAATGCAGAATGTCAAAATGTCCATTATTTTTGATGAAGTAAATTTTAAAAATTTATTTGACATTTTTGAACGTGTCATGAACCTAAACCAATTTTTCCTATAAATTATTCCCATTACATGGTGTAAAGTTGCATAATCTTGAATGTAATCCTCACATTATGCAAGGTCTTACTGTAGCTGTTTTGAACATACACTTCCTCTGTAATTTTTTCAACTGCATTCCTATTCCATGGTGGTGTATACTGGTGGTTCCAAGTTCTTGGCTGGAGTTATGTGTGGAGATGTCTTTCCATGTAGAACAGTCCAGGGTCATTTAACACATTCATTGTCGGTCCTGTTGTATCATGGCTTTGAAGCCAGTGTCAGTTCCTTAGTTTGATGCCATGAGCTCAGCTCACTCAGATGAGCTGTAAGCGGTAAATTTGGGCCTAGGTATGAGAGAATGGATCTTTGCACCATATAAAAAAAAATCCTGCAGCACACAGTGCATAATGAGAAAAAACTGCAACTGTGTTTTTGGTTTAAAACTGACTTTGTGGTGTATTTTTGTATGGTTTTTATGGTTGTATTCTCAGTTTCTTGGCTTCATTTAATAGAATGGAAAATATATTACAGAACTAGAGGTGATTTTTATTGGTTTCAGGAGTGAAAATAGCTTGAAATTGAGCTCAAAGTAGCAGAAATGTTTGATTTTTGCCAATACAATGGAACCTCGGCTTACAAATGCCCCACCATGCGAATTTTTCAGGAAATGAGCAGTCGCTCAGTCGATTTTTTGCTTCTGGATACGAACGAAATTTCAGGATGCAAACTTTCCCCTCAAGGGAGGTTCTTTGGTGAGGGGCTTTTGATCTAGGGAATTGGATCTGTGCTCCAGTTCACTAAATTGATAATAATTATTGTAATACATATGTACTACTAATAATAATACATTGCAGCAGGCCTGTTGGCCCAAACTAGGCAGGTCCTTCACAGTCCATTCCACTAACAGAATATTTGCCCAACTCAGTTTTCTATGCTACCCAAGCAATGAGCTTTAATTCTATTTTATCGTGTGCAAGTCCCACTCACATCCAACCCCTCACTCGTATATTTATCCAACACATATTTGAAACTACCCAAGGTTTTAGCCTCAGTAACCATACTAAGCAGACTGTTCCACTAATCAAGTTAAGAACATAAGAAAGGAAGAACACTCCAGCAGGCGTGTTGGCCCATACTTGGCAGGTCCTTCACTAATCCGACCCACTAACAGAATAAACGCTACCCAAGCAATAAGGTTTGATAATTCTATTTACTCACGTGCAAGTCCCACTCAAATCCAACCCCTCTCGCTCAATCAATCAATCAATTTTATTTCTTTGCAAGTAGTACATTGAGATTATGTATTTACAGTAATGAGTTGCAGTGCAAAGAGAGCCTCTGTCATGCCTATTCATTATG